AGTGACACAGATGGTTTTGTAAAATCTCCAGTTCCATCCACGATTTCTCATGCAGGAGCAAAACTGCGTCACATATCCCAAGAGAGGGAAAGCCACCACGACAATGAGAAAAGATATTGAAGATATTACATATTGCTGCATACCATCACGTACAGTACAGCTGAAGCCTAAAGATCGGAGATTCAACACAAAGAGCGAAGACCACTCAAAGAGCATGTTCAAGGTTTCGGGCAATGGAACTGACACAAGACTGAGGATGCCCAAATTTTGAAGAAAGGCCAACAACATATCACCACCAATCGTTGCACACTCACGAAGTGCAGCCCGTGCTTTGTAGCGATCCTCAGTGACATAGTAGGCTGTGATCATCACTAGCAACAATACAAAAGGGCCTACGATCCAGGCAGCCACCATGGAGACCTCACAAGTTCGACACTCCTCATCGGCCCAGTACATCCCAGCTGCGCAGTCATGACATGTTGGACCCAATCGGCCACCTTCACAAGCTCCAGGAGGTCCCCCAGGACAATGTGTGCCAAGACATTTGAAGATCTCTGTCGGCCTTGTCAACCAACTGAAGTAGCCTGGCATGACCTCCGCGACTGCACTTGGGCCATTGCGGCGACCCTTCAGCCCCTCCACTGTGCTACCATCTGGGCATGAGAGCCCCTCTCCGCAAGGCACACATTGCACTTCAGCTCCTGGCCCAACATCAATGGTTCCAGCAAGGCAAACGCAGTCTGAGAAGAGGGTGGCTCTCAAAAGGATGGTGGTCGTTCCGTTTGGGCATTTCTTGCACGTCTCTGCTCCAGTATCATTCTGGTAGTAGCCTGCTGGGCACGACGCACAATCCTCAGTGGATGCCACTTCTTTGAAAGTCCCTGCAGGACAAGGGTTGCAGCTTACTTCACCAGCAGCTGGCTGTTGTGAACCTGCAGAACATTCTTCGCAAACATAGGTGCTACCCCAGTCTTCCTTGAAAAGCTTGGAATAGGTGCCGGGTAGGCACGCTTTACAGGTGCTGGCTGATGCCCTGCTTGTAGAAAAACTCTCCGCTTTTTCATCATAGAGCCCAAAGCCACGGATGCACAGAGTCGGATCAGGGATCCACTCACGCCACCTGGCTTCATGGTTTTTTAGCCATCTGCAGGCGATCTCTTGTGGCTGCTCTCCAGTTGCCAGCCTTTCACGCATTAGATCATAGATGATATCAATATCAAAAGCACTGTTCTCCAGAAGCTTGAAAAGGTCAGGAGCAAGGTATTCTAAGTCGTAACTAGTGAGTTTGGCAAGTGGTGTCTGACTACTAGCTGTAGTCAGGTCTCCCTGGCTGTGGGCATATGCATTATGTTCTGGAAAAATGACCTTCTGCGGATTCAACTCCAACAAAGAGTCCTCTGGCGTCCAGTAGTAAAACATGGATTTGTAGATCTTGGGAATCAGCAAGTAGTTCTCATAGGAATTCGCCACGCCTACTCCAAGTGGAATTGAAAAGACGGCGCTTCTTTGCATCACATCCACAATTTGCCAGTCGTAGACAACGTAGAGAATGCATTGCATTGGATCGTTGCGGCAAACTGGGGCTCTCCAGAAGTACCCGTCAGGACAAAAGGCTTTGAATGAGTTGTTGACAACGATCACTCCTGAATCATCACCTGTGCTTCAAAACATGAAGAAAAACGTCCAAGTTTCTAGTTGTGCCCCTCTTGAAACATGTGCCCGAATTCGAAGTGTTGACCCTACCGGGCCCCACCGGGCCCCACCGGGCCCCACCATCCCTACCTGTCCATTTCCAATAGCCAAAATTCGTCAGATTGTCGTTGAGTCTGCTCTCTCGACATTGAAAGAAATAGGTTGTGTTTACCACAGCGATGCTATCGAAGACATCCAACACCTTTCAGTTGCGAAGAAAAACGGAAAACGCGAAAAACCAAACAAACTCGTTCTGAAGAATGAACTCCAAACCAGATTGTAATCGAGCATTTTTAAAATGATTCTCAAAAAAAGAACATCAAAAACTTCTTGTACTGTCTGGCACCTGATCTTTGGCAAACTGGTACATCTTGTAGTACTCTAAGACCAAACCTCGCGTTTCCGCTGCCTCAACAAATTAAGGCTTTTGTTGTTTTTGGTGCGTGCGTAATCTATTTTGCTATGGGGTCGAAATTCGGGCACACCAAAAGGGATATTTAATGCATATTTCATGTTTTAGAATGAATGGTTTTTTCTAGTAAGCAAAGTCTCTAAATGACTGGCTAATCATGGTTAACACAAAATATCCCATAGACAGTTGTTTGTTTGTGAGATGCTCTATTTTTCGACTGGCGCTACAGAAAAAATCGTGTCCAAGAAGGTGGCGCCTCGACAACGGATGCAGAGATGAATTGGCCAGTCCCGCCCACATAGCCCATGTCCGCACTAAGAGGAATTTCTGCAGGATATGATTGCCGAAGGATTTCCCATGTCGTTGGGTACAACAAATGCCAGCTTTCGACCACGAAGTGGAGCTCCTGTTTGCGTTCCTCACATCCAGGCGACTCGCGATTATACCAGGTCTTACAGCCAATCATCGCATATATCACTTCGAGGGATGAGGCTGGCACGTGAGGATCGTATTGCAAGTTGTAGCCAAGCACTTCAGAAATCAAAATATCGATAATTCCATTGGCTAACTCTGCCGAACGGTAGGGCTGCAAGACGACCCCCACGGGAAATGATTCTCCGTTTTTTGTTAAATTCTTCCGGCGCTCTGGCGCGACACCGTTGGGCAAACATGTTCCTGCTGCTTGGGAAGCCAAGCAGAATGCTAGGATGTACAAGAGCGCCATGGCAGGGAATGTGATGACGGGATGATCACGGCCTACACAAAAAAAAGGAAACATGGACCTGTGGCCAAAGGTCCAAGTCAAGAGCCCAAAAGAAAACACGCACGACAAATAGGGGTCACAACCAAGCTCCAAAACGGACGGTTTGACCCTCATGACATAGTTGATAGATGTTGATAGGGGGCATTGGTACCCCAATGATTTTCAATTTTCACTGGTAACAAAAGCCCAGTTGTGACCCCCGCAAATAGGTTAGAACAGCCCAGAAATTTGGTATCAATGGGTAAATCCGAACCAACCATCCCAATCTTACCAGAAATGGGTAGCAATTGCTGGCAATCTTAGAGCCAAGTTCCGAATCTTCATGAGATCTCCTTTGAGATCTCCTTCTCTTGGTGGATTAAATGCTTCAAACTGCAGGAAATCCCACCAGATCGCTGTTGGCCTGTCTTTCGCTTTAGGCTGGAGCCGCCCTGGCAGAAAATCGGAATGGGTCAACTGTATTCGATCAAATCACTGTATTCGAAAAAAACATTGGGAAAACTCACCAGTTTCTTCCCTGGATTTTAGCGGCCGATTCCAGGAGATCTTCGACCAGTTCGGGCGGTCGGCACTGCCTATCAAGTCTTCAGACTCGTGGGAATGGATCCCGGATTGAAATTGCAGCATCTATGATGATTATAGCATATTTTAAGCACTATCACGGTCCATGATACGCATTTATATGCATTGATATGCATCATAGGGAACCTCTTGTTTCGTCATGTCATCCGAATTGCGGAGCCAAGATCGAACCACAATTCAAGTGCTGTGGAACCCCCAAAAATGCGCCAAGTCAGCATCAATTCTTTTGCTACATTCCCGATTGCCAGGAGAACTGAGCAGTCTTCAAAAACCCTCTTTTGTCTATCATTCCAATTATAGTGGTTGCTTAACGGGAATCCCAGCTCATGTTTTTTTTCAGAAGCGATATGCAGCTCATATTGAGCAACACGTCCGCAGCAGCGTGCCCTAGACTGGTTGCCTACTTCAATTTTCGGGTTAGAAGAAGCCACTGTTCACGGTTTCTGCAATTGGTACAAATTGGTAATAGAATTCTAAGGAAACGAGTAGCATCGTACCATTGCTTCATACTAAGAGCGGAGAATTGCTTGAGCTCAACTATGGTGACATGTTGATAAAAGTCGTGAGTGAAATGTCCTAGCATGGGAGGAGAAGATCGCATAGCAATGGCTCTATGTGCTGATTCAGCTAGGGCTAATTCTAGTCAGTGCGCGGCGCTCCAT